TTTTTAAATAGCTTAAATTAACAATAAATTTCAGAATCCAATTAGCTTTACTGGAATGCTGAATGGTAAACTGGTTTTCTATTTAATTCTTCAGTCAATGAAAAAAAAGAACAGGAGAAAAAATGTGATATTTCCCCAGAAAAGATTGTGAATGACATCAGGTGTGTTGATAGTAGTTGTTTCTGTGGCAGTGATTAATTACAGTCATTGGTGCACATTTATGGTGACTGGCATTTACTTTCCTGCAGTCGTATGAGTAAACATTGTGGGAAACCCTAACTTCCTCAGTTTACATATAATTTACTTTTAGTAACTCAATCACCTCTTTCACAAATACAAACAGAGCAGGGGAAATGAAATAAAATAAACATCTTGTAAGAGTCTCTTTTAAAAAGAAAGGTTTTGATGAACATCTTAAAAAGTATATGTGCTTACCGATCTTACATGGATAGTTTACGTAGTTTGAAAAGACAAATGCTGGACCTATGAGAGGAATTACTCTTTTAAATCCAGACAGAAGTTAAGTCTAGACAGAAGGTGGACGTTTTGCTGGTAGCAGGCGTGTTTGTAATAGGATTAATGACATTCTGTTTCCTACTTTGAGTGCTGATATTCAGTAAACCATTTAGAATGATTGACCACAAAGTGCCAAATCACTTTCTTTGGCTTTCGCTCACTTTCCAGTATTAACACAATTAGTATAGTACTTCCACAGCAACTTTACCTCAAGGATTTGATTTGGACTTAGCTCTCAATCATTAAACGTAACTGGGCTGAGGCCTCTGCTGCACCAGTACAGTACAGGTTCAGAGCAACTCAGAAGGAACTGTACTATAGATGCATTTTACCCAGTAAGAGTCCTGGGAAGCCACACTGGTGATTTCCAGAGCACAATGCCCTCTGAATCCTTCAGCAGCCGTGTAATCTTGCAAGCAGAAAGGACAGGGTAAAAGTTACGTACACAAGCTCTGCTCTGCTCAAGCTGGAAGACTGCTAATTTTGCTGCGTTACACCCTGTGGACTAATAATTGACTGCAACTTTGGGAGCATTTTCTGAATTATCTCTGATATTCTGAGCAGCAGATTGATTGGCAGTGCTAGGTTAACGGTTGGACTCGATGATCTTAAAGGTCTTTTCCAACATAAATGATTCTATGATTTCTATGATGTTAGCAGATCTAACCGACACCTAGACTATCTGTGCAAAGTGAGTTACTCCTTCTCCACAAAGATAAGATAGATTAAAATTTTGAATCTTTTATGCTGCAAATTCTAGTTTATCTTTCAGAGTATTGTCTTCTTTTTCGAGACCTCAGTAAATTGGAAATTAAATCTCTGGAAAAGCTAATCTGTACTACTGGCTTTTTCCTTTCATTATGAACCCTTCCTAATGAATACATGAAGGTGTTTTGATGAGCTCTACTTTTTTAGTTTTCTGACTTTGTAGGAATTAATTTTTCCTCAGCATGAGAATGAATGCCTAAGTAGATTATGCTGATGTGGGAATTAAACCTCCATGTAGAGTTGATTTATTCTTGACATAAACTTTTCTATCCTCACGGTCTGGTCGCAAAAGGATCAGGGGTTAGCAGGCTCTAACTTTTGTTTACTGTAAAGTTAATCTAGACAGATTCTACAAGGACCTCCACATATCTTGATGGCTAAAACAAATTATTTAATAATATTTCTAAAACCAAGCATGTGTCCAGAACTTTGTGGGCCTCAAGACTAGGACAAGAACTCTCCAGGCCACAGATCATCACTGGTAGTAAGCATTTCATACAATACCTGATTAACAGCTTGGACCCAACTGGGTTAAACATTCCTGCAGTTTTACACCCTTTGCTTTCCCTTGATTTTAACTGGAAGATGACAATGGCTGATCACTGCAGTGGCATGATGGTTTAGATATATGAATGCCTCTGGTTTAGATTTACGAGAACAGAGCTGATAAAACATCTGCTCAATACATGGTGTTCATGGGGCTAAGTAAAACTTTGAAGTAAGCAAATACAGTTGGAAAAAACAGACAAGCTTGGGGTCCCAGTTAAGACTCACATGCCCCAAAGCTCGTTAATTTTTTCTTACTGCATCAGTTAGTCTAACAAAACATTTCACCTTGCTTCATAAACCTCGTACGGCTTCTATCACCCAACCATCACAATTACAACGAGGAAACAGCTGCTTAGTTTGTAGAACTACACAAGCACTTTCATATATTACAAATACAACTTGGAGATGTTAAGAAAGAGATAGCAAAAACTCAAAATAATGCTATAGCTGCTTAAGTGTATTCCTGAATGGAAAGACTGTTATAATCACAGCAATATACACCTTTCAGTACTTTTGCAGAGCAAAACGTGGTCTGTAGTGCTGGTGATTACTGTGTTTAAACAAACACTCTCTCTCAAGGAATATTTTCCTTTTGACTGATCCTACTGCTGAAACCCTACTGGTTCACGATAGCTTGTTGCTATGGATGGGTAATGATGTCACACATTCTGCCCTGTGTCCATTAAATGAGAATGATTTTTTTAATGACTAGGAGTTACTTGGCAATTCCCTGGAAGGCCTGAAGTGAATTACGAGTAGGAAAACAAGATGCCCTATTGACCCTACCTGCACTGTATCTTTATGCCAGTGAAGTGATGCAGTAAAACTCCATAGTAAATTCTCTGCAGATTTAAAAACAAGGTTGTGTTACTGCAATTTACCTTGTTATCCAACAGATTTCAGTGGGCTGAAGATCAGCAGGAGGCTAGGCGAAGTGTGGCTTAGGTGCTCGCACATGAACACATATGACCTTGGAAACTATGTAACTGTTTGTCCTTCCAAAGTTTTTGGAAGAGGGTGTACTGCTTGTGTCCTTCCCTCCACCAGTGATACTTTGGCAGGAAAGCAATCCCAAGCAGGGTAGACATCACTGCATCAGGCAGCAATTGCCACGCTACTGCCTTCTCTCACACCACCTTTCAAATTAGGTTAGATCTATCCTTTTGAGGTCGGCATCTGGAAGGCAAAGAACAAGAGGAAACCTCTTGTAAACACAGCCAACAACAGAAAGGCTGTAAGAACCTTGTTACCTATCCCCAGAGCTTGGCTTCTGCTCCCTCCTCTCCTCAAGGACAGTGGTGTTTAGAATAAGGAAGCTTTTGTCCTGAGGTGAGACCATCTGAGAGTTTCAAAGCCGCCTAAGCTATCAGGATACCCCCCTCCCCGTAGTTTCTAACAGGTGTCCTTTTCTAGGAAGGCAGCCTTATCTTCAAGGGCTGCCCTATGCGTGACTAAGCGCGCAGGGCTCAGCGGCGCCCTCCCCACACACTCTCATCCACAGACCTTGGCGGAGAGAGCCAGGCCAGCGGTCGGGACTGACAGGCAGGGCGGGAGAGCAAACCGAGCGGGGCCGGGCCGGGAGAGGAGCAGGGCCCGGTCGC